TCAGAAGTGATGTCATGCTGGACAAGAATCAGAGTCCGAATAACATTTTTTCATATTCGGACTCGAGTCCGAATAATCACTTCGTTCAAGGAAAGCCACCCAGAGTTACATTTCATTATGTTGCTATGCAACCTCATGTTTTCTGTTTTTCTGAGGCAGTTTTCAGCTGAAAACCTGCCTAAGGAGTCCAAAAAGTCTAAAAATTAAAATACTTGAACTGTTGTACTGGCTGCATGGAGACTTCTGTACTTCTTATCTCAAGAATAAGGTGTACAAGAGTGAAGATTCAGGTGATTTACCAATTCTTTTTAAATCCTCTCGCCTAGAAGCCTGTTAAAGCGCGGGACAGAAAAGGGGAAACATAATTCGGAGGGGGCAAACTTAGAGAAGAGGGAAATTAACTCGTGTATAGTGCTAGCAAGGTTCAAATCCATGATTGACTTTGAGGACAGTACTAAAAATACTCGATCTGGATAATTTGACAACCTGTTAGGCATAGACAACTGTAGACAATGTTAGTGAGAACAGCAATAAAGGAACAAGTCCCTAGATTTAAATAAATCTATCTATTGAGCAAACATTACTGTTACAAACAATGCAAGATTTAGATAATGACAAATGGTTGGTAACTTTTTAATGTTGAATTTACGTACATGATTACCAAAACCCAGGATGAATATCGAAACATCTTCACCACAGATACATAAAAGAATCATCAAAGGGTTGAAATACATCTTCACTCGTTCTGACATCACAGAAACAGACAGTCACATCTCAGAATGAGGATATGGCGAAGTGGCGTTCTACAATGCCAAAAAGCTAATACTGCCTTTCTTTCTCTCAAGCACAAAAACATGCATTTTATAGTCAACAGATCATTCACACGAAATGTGTTCAGGGCAAAGTGTGAGAAAAAAAAGAAAGAAATCATCAATGGTGTGAAATCTGGCAGTCAAATTTTACCTTATCTCCGATCTATTATCCAAATTCTCCAAGTGGGAAGATGCTGTGGTGCTGTATAATGAAACATTGTTTTGTCTCAACCTCAGACATTTTTTGGTGGAGAATGTTTTCATACTGTGGTTTTTCTGAGGGCATTACACTGGCCTTCGGTGGTGATTCATCCTTCTATCTGTTTCAATTTCAAGGAGGTACCCTCTTAGAAAGCCCCCCCTTCCCCACAACCTTGATTTTGTCGGCCATGCCCCTGTTAGACAGCATATTATAACTGATGGTAACGTTGCAGCTCGTTACCTGGTTTTTGTTAACTAGTGAGAGTACATTGTTCACCGTGGGCAAGATTTTAAAAATAGATCATGCATAAATGATCAAAGTTAATTGATGACATTGTGGTAAAATTAGGCGCTCGTCAAAATATAAGAAGAATGGAGATACCGGCATTTTTCCAGTAAAAGTTTTTATTTAATTTTTGGTTTATTGACTCGGTACCTTTGTGTCCATTTAAAAACACATTTCTGTGTGGATTTTCAGTGTTTGTGTATGATGCATAATAAATGTTCGTGTACACTCTTTCATCCCCAACAGGCAGCCCTCCCTAAAGCTACACAGTTAGACTTATCATGCAACAGACTTACAGTACTGCCGGTAAGTTGTTTCTCATAGTAGAAATTTTTTCTGTGTCCAGTATTTATTTGTGTGTTATGAATGATTTATGATGTTTCAAATTGTTCATAATCAGAGAACTTTCTTCTGTTGTCCCTGAAGGTGTTAAAAGTCCAATAAAAGAATACGTTATGCTGGCTTACAACAATGGTCAATAAACTGCCTGAATTTTGCAACTTGGGTTTTCTGTGTGCTTAGCAGAGTCATTCAGTGTAAAATTCATGCCTTTATTATATGTAAAAAGATGTAACTGTGGTTGTAAAACAGCACCCAGTGGGCCCCAATTAGCGGTAAAATGGGATCATTGTCCATGTTTCTTCAACTTGGTAGCATTTTGATATTATACCCTTTATTTGTTTGTTTTAAAAGATATATTAAATTTAGAGAAACCTTTACTGTTCTCAGGAATGATTGAAGTTTTATTTCAGTTGTTTTCATTGCTTCGATACACCCTATATACGCTTTGAAATAAGATTGATCATTGTACAAATGAGTCTAATTTTGTGAAACTGAATGCAAGAACGGATTGGACTGGCTACTAAAACATCTCAATCTGTATAAACATAGAGGAGTACCTTTGAAATGGGAAAGTAGGGGGCTCTTCGAAGTAGGACAAACTATCACATATGTAAAAATCAGTTGCACTGCTGGTTGAAGAACGAGCAGTCAGCTTCCCCTGAGATCTGGCAGGGAAGGCAAAGAAGAAGATCTTAGTCAGTGTTTGTTAGTTCCATCAGTTGTGTTTGTATTTTTAGACTCTGCTGATCACAGCAGTTGAGGCTGCTTCCTGTATTGCTTGTTATAATTCTGTTTTTCAATAATATAACTTTTCAGGATGCGTTTTGCACACTGACACACATTATACGACTTGACGTGAGCAAAAATGGCCTGACAGAACTCCCCAAAGACTTTGGTCACCTGGACAATCTGCAGCATCTGGACCTCCTGGGCAACAGCCTGACCACTCTTCCGCGCTCCTTCTGCCATCTGAGGAAGTTGAAATGGTTGGACTTAAAGGACAACCCTTTAGAAGACGGGCTGAAGAAAAATGCTGGTGATTGTCTTGATGAGGCCCAGTGCAGGAAGTGCGCCACTAGAGTGAGTTTGTTTTGTTTTGTACAGGGCGCAGGTCACCAAACTTTTTCCAATGTGGGCCGGAATACACCAAAATAATTCTGTTGTTTCCTTGAACTTTAGGATGTATATTAACCTTCACAACTTTATTCATGTATATTTCCTTCAGACTTTCTCCTTCCCATGTTATCTTCTTAAACTTCAATCTAAAGCAGTCTGGATATTTTGTTCATGTCTTTTGGTTGACAATGTAAAGTTTATTCTCTATTACTGGTATCGCAGCATTAAAACCTCTATTTGTAAACGTTTTAATTGTGTGCTTTCATATTCAACCATTTGAAATTATTAATGTCGTGCAGTGGGTATCTGATTGCTGCAGTATAAAAAGTTCACTGTGCTAAGCAGGTGGTTTGAGAGTACCACTGGTAGGTCCTGCTTCTGTACTACCCCTCAGTTGTTTCTGTCTTTGGGTCTTGTTTGTCTAGCTGTCTGTCTGTCCGTTTTGCTTTTTGCAAGCACTTAATGGCCATTATTGACTATTGTGCCTGTGCGCTTCTCCTTGTTCAAACAAATCTGATAGATCAGTGTCCCGGTCATGATTTGCTTGTTAAAATCATTGGTAGGGAAATGAAATGCTAATAACAATTTATTCATTTTTCAGATATTGATGTACATGAAAGATTTGGATTCACAACTTGAAAGGCAGTGGCAAAAAAAGCTACAGAAGAAGAGAGGTATGTGTGTGTATATATGGTATGCTTTTTGTAGTGTGTCTGTCTGTCTATCTGCCTGGGTATTACATGCATAAGTAGATGTGTGTTGGAAAGCATGTTAGGAGGATGCTTGATTTGCTATCCTTGGACTACTGCAACTTTAATCCAGGGGATTCCTCTGGTAAACAAAAGAAAACTATTTTTAAAAACCTCATGCATTTGAACATTTTTCCTTATTAGTAGTTCTTGTAAGAGGTGGTCTACATGAAAAATTGCCTTGTTCTGTCGATATTATTATTGTTTTTTAATTTGTAGAGGTGTGAAATACCAGGTTGCAAGCTAATGGAACAGCTGTTGTCCCAGGAACTTAACATGTTCTTGCAAAATCTGTTCTCACTCTCATGCTCTTTCTCGTTCTCTCCATCAATCTACCTCTCTGTCTTTCTTTCTGTGTATCTCTCTCTCTCTCTCTCTTTCTCTCTCCCTCTCTCTCTCTCTCTCTCTCTCTCTCTCTCTCTCTCTCTCTCTCTCTCTGTGCGCAGACAAAATTGCAGGCGTTCAGCTCAAGAGCGCTGGAACGTAACTATGTTTACACTGGTATCACGGGCCGTCACGCGCCAGCACAAGAAGGAAGCGCCCAAGTCTCGCACGGACGCGAGATAGGCCAATTTTGAAACATCTTGTTATACACGGTCTTTGGTTTGGTGCGGAGACTTATTTTGGGCAAAGAGATTACGAGTTACTAAGACCACAAGCGAGTTGTGACGTCACCACAACGACATAACTTAGACAGCTGTGACGTCACTACAACGACATAACATAGACAGCTGTGACGTCACTACAACGACATAACATAGACAGCTGTGACGCCACTACAACGACATAACATAGACAGCTGTGACGTCACCACAACGTAACATAGACAGCTATTACGTCACTACAACATAACATAGACAGCTGTGACGTCAGTAGCCCCTGGACCAGCCACTACAACACCAAACAACAAAACTAGACAATATCCAGTTAGTCAGTGATCACCATCATGTCTTGTCCTCTATTTCTGTCCACTAGGTTGACTGTCTAAAAATGGCCGCCCAGCATTTGAACGCTACATCTCTCCAGGAAGCAGTTGGTGAGTTGTGTGTGTGTGTGTGTTTGTGTGTGTTTGTGTGTGTATGTATCTTTGTGTGTGTTAGTGAGCGTTTGTGTTTGTGTGTGTGTGTGTGTG